CAGGAGATATTTAATATTTTATTTCGACATTTATTGATATAAAATATCTTCGAAATTATATATGCTAATTAAAAGGAGAATTTTTTCGAAGAAATTTTGCATTATAAAAGATCTATTGGGTGATGATGCATTTTTTATAGTTGCTCGAGGGATACCAACAATCGTTTCATTTTTCATTATACAATTTCTTTTTATATGTATTGATTTTTCAAGATAAAAGTCCCCCCCCTCTTTGAAATAGAATGAAATAAAAATATCAATAGTTTAATCAATATTTAAGTTATTAAAAAGTATGTTTCACGAAATGTTTTATATTTTATTTTGACATTTATTGATATAAAATATCTTCGAAATTATATATGCTAATTAGAAGGAGAATTTTTTCGAAGAAATTTTGCATTATAAAAGATCTATTGGATGATGATGCATTTTTTATAGTTGCTCGAGGGATACCAACAATCGTTTTATTTTTCATTATACAATTTCTTTTTATATGTATTGATTTTTCTAGATAAAAGTCTCCTCTCCCATCTTTGAAATAGAATGAAATAAAAATATCAATAGTTTAATCAATATTTAAGTTATGAAAAAGTATGTTTCCGGAGATATTTAATATTTTATTTCGACATTTATTGATATAAAATGTCTTCGAAATTATATATGCTAATTAGAAAGAGAATTTTTTCGAAGAAATTTTGAATTATAAAAGATCTATTGGGTGATGATGCATTTTTTATAGTTACTCGAGGGATACCAACAATCGTTTCATTTTTCATTATACAATTTCTTTTTATATGTATTGATTTTTCTAGATAAAAGTCTCCTCTCCCATCTTTGAAATAGAATGAAATAAAAATATCAATAGTTTAATCAATATTTAAGTTATGAAAAAGTATGTTTCCGGAGATATTTAATATTTTATTTCGACATTTATTGATATAAAATGTCTTCGAAATTATATATGCTAATTAGAAAGAGAATTTTTTCGAAGAAATTTTGAATTATAAAAGATCTATTGGGTGATGATGCAATTTTTATAGTTACTCGAGGGATACCAACAATCGTTTCATTTTTCATTATACAATTTCTTTTTATATGTATTGATTTTTCTAGATAAAAGTCCCCCCTCCCATCTTTGAAATAGAATGAAATAAAAATATCAATTTAATCATTATTTAAGTTATGAAAAAGTATGTTTCAGGAGATATTTAATATTTTATTTCGACATTTATTGATATAAAATATCTTCGAAATTATATATGCTAATTAAAAGGAGAATTTTTTCGAAGAAATTTTGCATTATAAAAGATCTATTGGGTGATGATGCATTTTTTATAGTTGCTCGAGGGATACCAACAATCGTTTCATTTTTCATTATACAATTTCTTTTTATATGTATTGATTTTTCAAGATAAAAGTCCCCCCCCTCTTTGAAATAGAATGAAATAAAAATATCAATAGTTTAATCAATATTTAAGTTATTAAAAAGTATGTTTCACGAAATGTTTTATATTTTATTTTGACATTTATTGATATAAAATATCTTCGAAATTATATATGCTAATTAGAAGGAGAATTTTTTCGAAGAAATTTTGCATTATAAAAGATCTATTGGATGATGATGCATTTTTTATAGTTGCTCGAGGGATACCAACAATCATTTTATTTTTAATTATACAATTTCTTTTTATATGTATTGATTTTTCTAGATAAAAGTCCCCCCTTCCATCTTTGAAATAAAATGAAATAAAAACATCAATAGTTTAATCATTATTTAAGTTATGAAAAAGTATGTTTCAGGAGATATTTAATATTTTATTTCGACATTTATTGATATAAAATATCTTCGAAATTATATGTGCTAATTAGGAGAATTCTTTCAAAGAAATTTTGCATTATAAAAGATCTGTTGGGTGATGATGTATTTTTTATAGTTGCTCGAGGGATACGAACAATCGTTTTATTTTTAAGTACAATTTCTTTTTATATACAATTTCTTTTTATATGTATTGATTTCTCTAGATGAAAGCTTCCCCCTTTTTGAAATAGAATGAAATAAAAACATCAATAGTTTAATTAATATTTAAGTTACTAAAAAATATGTTTCATGAGATATTTCATATTTTATTTCGACATTTATTGTATGATATAAAATGGTATCTTCGAAATTATATAATTAGGAGAATTTTTTTGAAGAAATGTTGCATTATAAAAGATCTATTAGATGATGATGTATTTTTTGTAGTTGCTCGAAGAATACGAACAATCGTTTTATTTTTAAGTATACAATTTCTTTTTATATGTATTGATTTCTTTATATGAAAGCTCCCTCCTTTTTTAAATAGAATGAAATAAAAACCTCAATAGTTTGGTCAATAATTAAGTTACTAAAAAATACGAGATATCGAGATATTTCATTTTATTTCGACATTTATCGTATGATATAAAATGTGAAATACTCATTTTTTAATGACTTTATCTCTCAATATTTTCAAATGCAAAATAACAAGATGATTGATACAAAAAGCTGGTTTACATCATGTATAAAAGTGTAACTAAAAATGATAATTACAAATTTAACTTGCGTAATCATTTCGATCATCGTCCCAAACAATCCATCGGGGAAACAGATGAGGAAGAGAAAAAGAGACAGACAGACAGACAGAGAGAGAGAAAGAGACATCGTCTCTTTGCGAAACGAGACGCGCCGAAACCTCTGGGCGGTTTAGTTCGAGTTCTTCCTTTTTCCTCGGCCTCTCGCATCCTTCCGTTCCTCTCTCTCTCGACGTTCGTCCTCGTCCATCCTTTTTGGCTTCTCCCTAGTGGATTCTCCTCCGATATGTGTTCGTCCGTGTCACTCACACAAGGACGCTGTTCCTCGCTCGCAGCCACGATCCAAGCCGTCTCAGTCTGAAGAGCTGAAGCAGGTGCGCCGGACGCATTCTGTGCATTCCAGGGGTCTCGTCCTCATCCAGCATCACACGTCGGCCGCCTACGCGCGTCCTTCCCCTTCCCCTTCCCCCGCCTCCCGCTCACATATCGCCCCCCCGCCTCTCTCTCTCTCTCTTTCTCTCTCTCTCTCTCTCTCTCTCTCTCTCTCTCTCTCTCTCTCTCTCTCTCTCGCCTGCATCTCTCTCTCTCTTTAACGATAGCATCTCGCGAGACCGAACAATTTCTCGAATCGCGACATCGCGCTCATTACACGTGCCCGATATCATGTTCAACTCTTGTGACGTGTTATTCATTTTTAAAAGCCTATCAACAGAGATAGTAGGTTTTCCGCGTGGATATCGTTTGAGGAACGATATGTTATACGTTCTTGGTATCTTGGAGTAATCGATTCTGTCATTACGATTTTAATTCGAATCGATATTTGAAATTGATACGTTATCTCCCTCGGGTATCTCTTTTATCCAATAAACACGCCGCTCGAAGCAATGGGGCAACAGATGCGAGCTCGCTGCGATAAGCTCGCGAGATTCGTGAGATAACGAATCTATTACACGCTATGACATCGCAATTTAATCAAGTGTACTCGATATACAAGTACTTTTTAAGAAATAAAATGCATTAATCTCCCCGTGACAAGCAGTGGCATTCTTGGATCAAATATTTATAAGTGTCTTCGATTTTTCGAACTATCGCTGGGTTACTTAAAATTTAATATCGAATTTAATATTTCTATTAATTAATTATTTATTAATTATTTCAATTTTCTATTATTTAATATTTCTATTAATTAATTATTTATTAATTATTTTAATTTTCTGTTGTTTAATATTTCTATTAATTAATTATTTTAATTTTCTATTATTTAATATTTCTATTAGTTAATTATTTCGGAAATACAGGAAATAAATTTTCTTTTAAATGAAAATGCTATGTCGCGAGATAGAATCCTTTAATTTTTCACAAATTTGCCTCATTATCATCCCTTAATTTTTACAAACGCCTTGGAAAATTGTTGCGAAGGAATCACTTTTACGCGATAAAAGCTTCATTTCGAAATATTTCAATTTATTATAACATCTAAAATACTCGTAATAATAACAATAGTTTATTAAATTAATTTAATTATCGAGAGACGTTTTGTTCTGCGAGAGCGCGTTTTATTAAAAGCGGGAGGTCCCTTCTAAACGCGAACTATTTCGCGCGCGGAGCCAACAATAGGAAGTTATTATTTTCCGTCTGTTCGCGACAGATTCTGAAGGTATTATAATTCGCCCCATACCGGTCACGCGCGGCAGTTTCAGTAACAATTAGCCGAGTATCCGAGGGCGAGAACAATTGCATTTGTAGAAGGGCGTTCGCTCGGGGCGCTGTATTTATTCGGCAAAAGGTAAACCACGTGTGTTTCTGAAACGAACGCCGAGGGGCAGCAGCCCCGAAGCCAAACCCGGTGACCAAACATGGCTTAGATGGACTCCTCCCTCTCTTTTTTTTTTCTAACTCTCTGAAAAATTAAAGGATTTTATCTCGCGACATAGCATTTTCATTTGAAAGAAAATTTATTTCCCGTATTTCCGAAATAATTAATTAATAAAAATATTATAATGGAAATTATAATAGAAATATTAAATTCCGAAATAATTAATTAATAGAAATATTAAATTTATATTAAATTTCAAGTAACCCAGCTCTTTCTTTTTCATGTGCAAAAACAATCGAGGATTTTTTTAATCGTGAGCCAAGTTGAGGTTTCGCTAGCATCGTTGCGAGGAATGTGAGCAAGATGGAGCGATTTTAAAGAAATTTTTTTCTCCCTCGTATAAAATCGCGCAGAATTATGTTTAAATAATTTTCTAGGAGGATTTGTGCAGATATGTGATAAAACTAATTTTTCAACGGTTTTAAATTTACACGAAATAAAAATATATAATAAAATATAATAAAAATATATAATAAAAATAAATATAATAAAAATATATATTTTATATACAAATATATATAATATTCTCATATTTCTTTTTCTGACACTCGTCTCTTTGTCTCTTGTCTACCTCTGTTAACACACGACTTTCGATACGTGTAACGTTTCACGTCTCACTCGCAACTGCCAGTAACTACCTCTCGTCACATTATTCACACGTTTTGGGGCAAAAAGATATACGTGAAAATATTGACCTCAAGTGTTTGTGTTTATAACCTCTGTCTTACTGTCGTTTCTCTAACCGTCGTTTAATCCAAGATATTTTGTCTTACTGTCGTTTCTCTAACCGTCGTCCTATCCAAGATATTTTGACAATTCACAAATTATAAATATTAATATCTATTAAAATAAAATGAAAATAGAAATGTACTTTTAGAAAAAAATTTGAACAGAAATTACACAGAATAGGAAATATACATATTTTATAGAAATCTATTGAAAAAATTTAAACATTATTAGTAAATTTAAACATTATTAGTAATTATTAGTAATTTAACATTATGTGTATTAATATGTATGAAAAAGAAGGAGAAAACTTAATTGTTTATTTAATACCCGCATTTATAAAATATAATTTATATATATTTTTCACTTGAAAGTTTTAGCGTTTGTTTTAGCATTTATAGCAATAATTAACTAATTTTTTGTCGCTTTTTATACGAGATAGCCAAGATATTCCAGAATTTTTTTGTTATCATTCTTATATACAAGATTGCGTCGTTTTGATTTTGCATATGTTGCGTGATAAAATAATTGATTGGCGTTTTCATCAAATTGTCAGTAAGTTTATAAAATATTTTTATAAACTCTTATAAAATGGCTCTTATGATGAAAATTCATAACGATGTTAAAATATATTTATTAGCGATTTTGTGAAATCTCGAATTACATTAGTTAGGAAAAGAAACAATTGTATAAGATTAATTGTTGATATATAATTAGCCTTAAATTATTTGATAGACGCGGCTTTATTTGACGTTGGTGAAGGGCGAAGGCAGCTTAATAAGGATCAAATTATTCTGTACAATTTTATAAAACTGTATTTGTGCGCGTAGAAGAAAGAACAAATAACTCACTTGCTCATTTTAAATTTAAAAGAAACTCGAAACACATAAAATTGCATATCATAATAAATATCTAATAAATATCTGGTTTATTTTCATAATAAAATCTCGTGTGTATATATAATTCGCTAAGATACTTACTTAAAAGATATAACTTATTTTTTACTTAATTTCAAGAAATATAAATACCTTTTTATGTAAATATATATAATTATATAAATTTTTTATATAAGCAAGCTTTTATGCATAATATTTAAATTGAATTAATAATTTCGATTCTATCTTATTAATATATATTTCTTAAATAATATAATGCGTATGTAAGATAACTCACATAATATATGCGCTTTTATGAATAACTCACATTTCTTTTTCCTGACACTCGTCTCTTTGTCTTTTACCTCTGTTAACACACGATTTTCGACACGTGTAACGTGTCGCTTCTCACTCGCAACTGCCAGCAACTGTCTCTCGTCACATTATCCACGTTTTGGAGCAAATAAGTATACGTAGATACATGATAATATCGACCTCAAGTGTTTGTGTTTATAACTTCTCTCTTACTGTCGTTTCTCTAATCGTCGTTTAAAATTATCCCTCCAAGATATTTTGACAATTCACAAATTATAAATATCTAATTATTCATATTAAAATAAAGTGAAAATAGAAATGTATTTTTAGAAAAAAATTTAAACAGAGAAATTACTCAGAATAGGAAATATGTATATTTTATAGAAATCTATTGAAAAAATTTAAACATTATTAGTAATTTAACATTATGTGTATTAATATGTATGAAAAAGAAGGAGGAAAATTAATTGTTTATTTCATACCCGTATTTATAAAATATAAAATATCTTTATATATTTTTCACTTCAAAGTTTCAGCGTTTGTTTTAACATTTATAGCAATAATAAACTAATTTTTTGTCGTTTTCAAATTTACACGGAATAGCTCAGATATTCCAGAATTTTTTCGTTATCATTCTTATATACAAGATTGCGTCGTTTCGATGTTGCATATGTTGCATATGTTGCGTGATGAAATAATTGATTGGCGTTGTCATCAAATTGCCAGTAAGTTTATAAAATACTTTTGTAAAGTAACTCCCTTTCATAATGAAAACTAACAATGTTAAAATATACTTATTAGTGATTTTATGAATTCTCGAATTACATTAGGAAAAGAAGCAATTATGTAAGATTAATTGTTAATACATAATTAGCCTTAAATTATTTGATAGACGCGACTTTACTTGACGTTGGTGAAGGGGGAAGGCAGCTTAATAAGGATCAAATTATTCTGTACAATGTTATAAAACTGTATTTGTGCACGTAGAAAGAGCAAATAACTCATAACTTGCTCATTTTGTAAATTTAAAAGAAACTCGAAACACATAAAATTGCATACCATAATAAATATCTTGTTTTAAATATTCTGATAATAAAATCCCGTATGTATATATAATTCTGTAAAATACTTACTTAGAGGATATAACTTATTTTTTATTTAATTTCAAAAAATAAAAATAGCCACCTTTTTATATAAATAAATATAATTATATAAATTTTTTTATATGGACAAGCTTTTATACATAATATTTAAATTGGATTAATAATTTTGATTCTATTTTTATTAATGTATATCTCTTAAATCAACTCAATCATGTATAATGTGTATGTAAGATAATTCACATAATACATGCACTTTTATGAATAACTTGGTTTGTCGAAAAATAGTAAAAATTGTATATAAATATATTCTTTAAATAGTATATAATCATTATATATTTTTTAATTTTTATTAATTAAACAATATATATATTTCATAAATATTTTCCACATATAATTCTTGTTATTTTTTTAATAAATTAATAATTACTTATTTGTAAAGATATATATTTTATGAATTATCTCTCTCTTATATACGCAACAATGATAAGAATGAACATGGGTAACCCATTAAACACAAAGCAGTACAATAATATAAAGTTAATGTTATAATCTCATTCAACAATATGTAATTATTGCATATTACATTGTAATTATATTGCTCAATGGAAAATTATAACATTAATGCACAGACTCCTATATAGATCATTAATATCGATATCGATAATAACGTTAAATATATAATTATTTTAATCATTAAAATCATTAAAATCATTAAAATCATTAAAATCATTAAAATCATTAAAATAGAGCATCATAAATAGGCTACCATAATGCCACGTGGTAACATCGCTGGGCTAGTATAATGTATAAAAATCTATGCATTAATGTTATATTATTTTTGCTATATGTTTATCAATTAATTTTCTTATAGTATATATTATACGATACTATTATTTTCTTATAGTATATATTATACGAACCGTCACACAGGAACGATCACAGAGAGTTACACTGTTACTTTATGTTTTAAGACTGAAACGTGCGTGCTTTAAGAAAATTTCGTCAGAAATGTGCCGGGCACACTACTCGTGTACTGTTAGCACGATCTTTCGTCAAATAACTCAACTAAGAATACTACTATCACATTTGCACCACATTTATATGTGTCGTATAGGAGTAGTGCGCACTAGGGATGTTAAATATCGATACAATTTGCTGGTCGATACTATCGATAGTTTTGAGGAGCCTTCTCGATTCTATCAACAAATATCGATAGTTTTAACAATTGTTTATGTTTATTTTTTTTAAGCTTTAGATTCTCTAGATTGCAAATAGTTTTATAATTAAACAAAAACAAGTTATAAGTATTATATAAACTGGCTCCAAGAAGACTATAAGCATTATAAAGACAAATTATAATTACCGTCAAAGACTGCGTTCAGAAATCCTACCAGTATAGTAGGGGTATTGTGATATTTAACCTACCTATCGGGATCGAGGAATTTATTCCTTGAATTTACTTCTGATTGATCGATTTGATGTTACTTTACCTTGGGGGTAAGATTTCTGAACGTAGCCAAATGTGATGAATTTTATATTGGTTATTATTATGGAAGGTATTTATTATAAACCTGGGGCCCGATTCTTATCCATATGAAAACTATCGATAGTTATGGATAGATTATTTTCCTTGTCGATAACTATCGATTGTTAGTGCTTGTCGATAGTTAAAAATAATATAAAAAAATTGATAAAAATCTCAAATCAAATATTTTATTGTATCTTGACCAAGTTTCGCCTCAATTTAATTTATAGGGGAAGCGATGACAATTATGTTTTGCACTAATTTTTCAAGGAATGTATAAATAAATGTGTTAAAACCTCTATTTTTCTTTTTTTTTTGTTATTTTTGAAAAGATTTCCAACCATATGTTATCCTGAACAACCATGATATGCGTGAATCGTTAATGGCGAGTCTGGAATGTAAATTATGTCGGTTTTAAGTATAAATTCGTAGCTTATTTGTTTCTGCACGTCGTGCGATTCGTCGGGCTTTCAAATTATTTTGCAATTAATTTTATATTTTCAACAGTTGCACACGTTAAGCTAATTAAATTAATTAATTAAATATGTTTAGGATTAACAAAAAATCAAAATTTACAAGAATAGATTTTAAAAATTATTATTTCCAAGAATATGTGCGTATGTATATTAATTTATAAAGATTGTTTTCGAATCAGCTAACTGCGATATATTTAAATGAATTTTTTATTTTTTTTATTATAAAGTATTTTTTTTTCTTTAATTGATATTGCGTTTCTTAAATCACTAAAAATATTCACAAAATCGTATTAAGAAGAAAAGCTGAGTTACGTTTAGATATAGTTTTTATTGGAGGTAAAAGCTAAGCAGAAAGATTACAAAATAATAAAAAATAATTATAAGTAACATAATAATACAATAATCAATACACATTAATGAAATTAATGACGAAAATATTATAATTAATTGATAAATTATAAAAAATATAGAATTAAATCACTTCAAGAGTTTTATAATAATACGAATTTTTTTCTATCTATCGCATAACCTTACTATATAGTATACAAAATATTTCTAAATTCTTTTGTGAACACGATGTAAATTTGAATCT